GCAAAATGTGAGTCTCGTGGCCATTCTCCCTTTCTAGACTTTCTACTTCTGCATTACTGATCTGAACTATGACTGCTAAGTGATGTATGCAGTTTTCTATCATGCAGTTTGCTTGGTTATTTTTCAGGCCTTCGAGTTGAATACTTTTTGTATGTAGCATCTTTGTACCATAGACATATTTTCTCAGAAATGGGAAAAATTGTTCAAAAATCCTTAATGTTCTTAGTTTGGGGGGACCTGATTCCTATGGGATAATATGAATAGAAATTACTAAAATAGGTATTAGATTTATTAATCAAAAGAGAGCATTCTATAGAATGCTCAAATCATTTATCATTTATTTTCCAAGTTGAGATCTACTTTGTAGAACTGTAATTTTTTCCTGGCTTATTCCATATTCTTCTCCACTTCCCTACTCAAAAGCTCAAAATGAAACTCTCTGGGATAAAACCCCACCTGGATGTCTCACAATGGTTAAAAATACAGGCCATAACCCACCTGATTTTGTTGGTGAATTTCTCAGTTTAAACATTTCAAATGTCAACTTAGTAGAAAACTAGCCAGGTTGGCAATAGGTAAAACCCTATCCTTGCTTCTGTTCAGTTCTTCCTGGGTTAAAAATTACTTTGGATTGGTGGTGATTAGTTTTTAATCCTCTCCTCAAAGTTTAAGAAAAGGGCTATTTTTCCTGAGGGGCAGGGGAACAGATGAGATTGAGGGGAGGGAGATAGCTTTTTGGTAGGAAAAGCACTTTCTCAGTGTACTGCCGTTGGATAATAGATTGTTAGAGGTACAAGGAATCTTATAGATCATAATCTATACTATTTCTTCCATTTCACAGATGGGGAAATTAAGGCTTAGAAGGGCTAAATGTTTTATGAAGGTCACAACAGATAGTTAGTGATGGCTATAAGTCTCATACTTAGGTCACCCTTTGCAGTGCTCTTTCCATTATAATATGGTTTGATTTGAGAGCTCTATACTGCTCATACATTCCTTTCCCTTCCTATCAACCTTTCTTCCTCTAAATCCCATGTTAGAAATTTCATAAATAGGGGAAGGCTTTTATTTTACAAGTAGAAATAAGGACTAAAATGCATATTCTTTTGGGGAGGAGACAAAATGATCCATTTCTTTTACTTTAAGACTTAATTTGGATTCCACACGCTCCATGAAGGCTTTCCAGATCTCTTTTTGGCTCCTTCTCAGCTGAAAATATTCTCTGACTCTAAATTTTTCTTTTTTTAAGTTACTTTTACTTATTTCATTAAATATTTATTAATTACATATAAATTTTTAACAATCATTTAAAAAAATTGAGTTTCAAATTCTCTTTCTCCCTAACACATCTCTCCCCTTCTTGAGAAGGAAAGCAATTTGATTTCAACTATACTTGTGAGGTCATGCAAAACATATTTCCATATTAGCCATGTTGCAAAAGAAAGCACATACAAAATAAAACAAAGGTAATTTTTTTTAAAAGTATACCTCAATGTACATTCAGAGTTCATCAATTCTCTCTCTGAAAGTGGAAAGAATTTTTCATCATGGATTCTTTGGATTGGATCACTGTCTTGATCAGAGTAGTTGAGTCTTCACAATTGATCATCCTCAAAATATTGCTGTTACTATTCTCCTGGTTCTGCCCACTCTACTTTGCATGAGTTTATATAAATCTTCACAGGTTTTCCTGAAGCCATCCTACTCATCATTTTTTATAGCACAGTAGTATTTTATTACAATTACGTACCATAACTTGTTCAGCCATGCCCTAGTTGATGGACATCCTCTCAATTTTCAACTCTTTGCCACCACAAAAAAGCTACTATAAATATTTTTATTGTCCAAATAGGATCTTTTCCTTTTTATTTGATTTCTTCGAAGATTATGCACAGTTTTATAGCCCTAGAGTCATAGTTTCAAATTGTTCTCCAGAATTATTGGACTAGTTTATAACTCCATCAATAGTGCATTAGTGTCCTAATTTTTCCACATCTCCTCCAGCATTTATCATTTCCCTTTTCTGTCATGTTAGCCAATCTCATACATGTGACGTGGTATCTCAGAGTTGTTTTAATTTGAATTTCTCTAATCAATAGTGATTTAGAGTATTTTGATGTGACTATTGATAGGTTTGATTTCTTCTTCTGAAAACTACCCATTCATATCCTTTGTCCATTTATCAATTGTGGAGTGATTCTTATTTTTATACTTTTGGCTCAATTACCTATATATTTGAGAAATGAGACTTTTATTAGGGGAACTTATTGTAGCCCCCCCTCCTGTTTTCCTTCTAATTTTGACTGCATTAGTTTTGTTTGGGCAAAAGTTTTTAATTTCACATAATCAAAATTATTCATTTTGCTTCCTGTAATCTCGTCTATCTCTTGTTGGTTAGAAACTCTTCCATTTTCCACAGTTCTGACAGGTACATTCATTTTTCTATGCTCCCTAACTTATGCTATCACCCTTTTTGTTTAAATTATTTACCTATTTTGACCTTATCTTGGTAGACTTTGTGAAATGTTGTTCTATGCCTAGTTTCTGTCAAACTGCTTTCCAGTTTCTCCAGCAATTTTTATCAAGTGTGAGTTCTTACCCCCTTACTATGGCCATTCACCACTATGTATTGTGTATCTAATCTATTCCACTGATCCACTGTTCTATTTCTGAGCCAGAGAAGAAAAGGACAAACCACTCTAGTATCCTTGCCAAGAAAACCCTAAATAGGGTCACAAAGAGTTGGGCCTGACTAAAAAATGATTGAACAACAGCAACAACCATCAGATTGTTTTGATGATTGCTGCTTTGTAACACAGCTTGACATTTGGAACTTTTAGGCTTTCTTAATATTTTTTTCCTTTCTCTGAATTTTTCTAGATAAATTTGTCTGACTCTTTCCTTTGCCCCATATTTTGACCTTGGATTATATTTATGTCCATGTCTATCTTCCCAGTTAATTGCAAGCTTTCTGGGGTGCAAGGATTGTGTAGTTTTTTTTTTTAATCCTTGTATCCCTTGGTATAGTACTTTACATTTAGTAGCTGCTTAATAAATACTTGGTGAAATAAACTGAATTGAGTTGAATTATCAATTATTATTCATTTACACCTTAATGTGAATGAGTTTCTCATCCTTCCCTGCCCCAAGTAGGCAGTTGACTGAGGGGAATTGGGGAAATCTCAGGAAGAGTATCTGACTATAGGAGAAAGAATCCTGAATCAGGAGTTAAAATAATTGGATTCCAATCCTGTCTTCACTACATATTAGCTGTGTGAAATCTGCCTAGTTCCTTACTTTTTCTCTGCCTCCATTTTCTCATCTGTAAAATGATGAAGTTCTATCCTCTGAATTCTATAAAACCTCTCAGAGGGGGGTTGAGGGAACAGATCTAGAGAAGATGGTTGGGGCAGTTGAAGTGTGCTTACATCACAATCTTATCACAGGTAAGAAAGAGGTGCCTAGGAAGTAGAGATTCAATACAAATGATTGTGGTGGTGGTGGTGGTGTGTGTGTGTATGTGTGTGTGTGAAAGGAGAACCTAGCTAATCTACCAGGGAATACTACCTTCTGCTTTTACTCAATGGAGCTTAGAAAAAAAAAATCTCGTGCAAACAAAACCAAGAACCTTTACTTTGCTAATAAAGCTAAACTAATTCCCGTTTTCTCCCTTTTCCCTTGGGATGAGCGCCAGAGTGGTGCTTCCTCGAAATGACGAAATCGAAGGGCATCTTCCTTAGGAATAACTGGCTGCCCGGAGTCAGTGGCCCTGGCCCTGCAGGGACCCTTTTGGGTTTCCGCAGCCTTGACTTGCCTGGCAGGAGGGATTCCAGGGGACAGACGCTTGCACCAGACGCTGTTCCAGCGCTAGGCGTTCCCCTCTTGGTCCACTGGGCAGCGTGGTGCAACTGGAGCCGAGACATATTCATCTTTATAGAAGGGGCTGTCAGGGATGTACTTCTAGGGCAATCCCCAATTCTTGCTCACTGTGGAGTCGCCTTTGCTGAAGGGGCTAGGGGAGCATTAGTCACGTTTGCCAGTTGCAGAAAATCAAGAGGAAGGGGCGAGGGCTTTGTGCGGCCGGGAGCGGGTTCTACGGGAAAGTATAGGGTTATAGGCAGCTGTACACATAGGCAGGAGTGCTGCTGCACACACACACACACACACACACACACACACACACACACACACACACAACCCGATACCAAGGTAGACTCCTCAAAGATAGAGAGAGAGATCCTTAAGTTCACAAAAATAGGCAGGTCATATTTGATGTTGGTGCTTTAGGTTTACTTTAATTACAGATCGTGAGGGTTTTCCAGGCTTGTTCAATTTTTCTGAAGCTGCCACCTGATTATCAGGAAGCGAACTCAAACCTATGGCCTGCCTATAAATAACGTGTGTGTGCATGTTTCTGCAACTCTTTTTCTTGTACCAGGTGGAGAGAAAGTTGTGCCAAGGCATTAAAGGAGAAAGAGAGGAACACACACACACACACACACACACACACACACACACACACACACACGCTCAAACAACCTGCATCCCAGGAGCAGGTCCTACAGTAATCCACCCTCTGGCTCTGTCTGCTCAGGGAGCCGATAGTTGGGCTGTGTTGGTATGACATAAGGCTTTGGGGAATTTGTGGCGAAGAGAAACTAGGAATTGCGAACGCCCTGGCCATGATATCAGACTCAGGATCTGGGCAGGCGAGGGGGCAGTTCCCACCTCAGTAGTCCGCATCTCGCTGTAGCCAGACTTCAACAAGGCCAGCCAGGAGCATCTGATGGAAGAAATGATGGGAGAATCAGATGTTTTTGTTTCTTCTTGATTTCTTTCTCACGTCTTCCTTCATCATTAATAACACACCTTGGGGTGTTTGGGTTTGGGGTGAGAATATTTTTCGGGGGAGACATTTTGGATGCCCAAAGAAAAGGGTGGGTGCGGGGGAACCAGGAAGGATTGAATATTTGGGGAGGAGGGTGGGGTAGGGGTTCTGCATGAGCTCCTTAAAGGACAAAGGTAACAGAGGGAGCGAGAGAGCTAAAGGGAAGACTTTGACTTTAAACCACAGAATTGGTGGAAGTGTGTGCTACGCTGCTGCTGCTGCTGCTGTTGCTGCTACTGCCACTGCTGTTCCGGTTCCCGCTCCTGCACCCGCTCCTGCTCTTGCTTTTGGTTGGTTTCAGAGCTCCCGGGTCCGGGAAGGTAGTGAGCCAACGCTGGGGAGCGCCTGCCGGCTGCAGCCGAGGTCGCTCAGGATGGGCTCCGGGAGCCAGGCGCTGTCCATGGTCCCAGCGGTTCTCCTAGCCCTGACTCTGCCTGGGCTGCCTGCGTGGGCGCAGAACGACACGGAGCCCATAGTCCTGGAGGGCAAGTGTTTGGTGGTATGCGACTCTAATCCGGCTACAGACGCCAAAGGCTCTTCCTCATCTCCCCTGGGGATCTCAGTCCGGGCAGCTAACTCCAAGGTTGCCTTCTCTGCCGTGAGGAGCACCAACCACGAGCCATCGGAGATGAGCAACAAGACACGCATTATTTACTTCGATCAGGTCAGAGCTGGGTCCAGGATGGGGATCTTCAGGCAGCTTGACACCACCATAGTTGCCTAGATATGAGCCTAACTATGCCAAATCTACTAGGAAGGGGCAAGAGGGAAAAATGGTTTAGACTCAGGGGAGAGGGCCACAGACTCTGCTCTTTGGGATGGTGTCTTGGGTTAGGAGCTTCTCAGCAAGCTCCACCTGTTCCTTCCTGGTCTTTCCCAGAAGGCAGGCTTGGCCAGCGGTGGAGAAAAGGGCAAAGAGAAGAGATTTTCTGGACGAGTTTGGTGGCAACAGGTCATGGAAGCTGAGGGGGCTTTCATTGCAGGGGGGTTTCTTCTTGTTTTCCAGAGACCCACATTTCCCCCACTCCCTCACTTCTCTGGTTTACAAGTGTCATGATTTCTCTGTCCTTGCACCTTTGATAAGGCTAGATGAATATTTGATTGATCTGCTTCCCCAAGAAGTTGGGGAAGGTTTTCTTTGCCTGGCAGGGTCTCCTAGAGTCTTCCAGATTTGCTCCCTCCCATTTCCTTTCCCTTAGGACAAAAAATTACCTGCATTCTAAGTTCTCTTGCTGCTGCAGCCCAAGTAGAACTTGGTCCCTTTTCTAGCACTTTGTGAAAAGTTGTGGAACAGAAGAAGGAAAGGATGCCAGTAGGTTTACTGAGGTCCCCTGGGAAACACGGAGGGAAGCAGATCCTTCCATCCTCTATCTACTAAGGCAAAACCATCACTGAGCTTCCAGCCTTGCAAATTGTGGGAAGGAGAGGGGCTTTCTGGGACTAGAGCAACCAGCTGCTGCTATTTAGCCTGGTTGACTGTCCCTGTGGGTTTGTGATCCGAGGGAACTCCCAGAGACTTTAGCTCTGCTTCAGCAGTAGCTGGTAGAAGAAAAAAAGAAGGAAAGACTTTGGCTGCCAACCCAAATAGCACCGAACACATTAATATTCTACAACCTGACCAATTGGTCAGTCACCCTTATATGGAAAGATGTATATACACATATATACATACTTATAAGTATGTATGTGTGTGTGCATATATGTATATAAACACAAATGTATACATATATGTATATATGCCTATCTATCTAGGCAGGAGTCCAGGTGAAATAATATTTAGAAAGGCAAAGAGTAAGAAATGAGGCGGCATTTGTATGAATTATTTAATTCCTTACAAGAAATGTATGACATCTGTCAGTAAGCATAGAATGCCCCCCCCACCCCAATACTATGGGGGTGGGGTGGGAAGAGGAAGTTAAAAATGAACAAATGTAGTTTTTATATTTCAAGTGACCCTTTGAACTTGGGTGCATTTTTCCAGCCCCAAGGTAATAAAGAATAAAACAAGCCTTGATTTCACAATGAATTAATTAATGCTAGAATGCTCTGGCCATTAGAAACATCTTCAGTACCTCTTGTTCCTTTCCAGTGACCTTTCTGTCAATTAGAACAGGAAAGGTTTTCTCTTCTGTGCAGAGAGTGATAGATCTTGGCGACAACAAGCTACATTCAGTTATAAATATAGTTAAGATAAATGCTCTAATTATAATGTAGAGTCAACATCAGCCGTTCTGTGTAGTCAACACTAATCAGCAATTTTCATTATTGTTAATGAGTTGTATGACTTGCACTAAAATCACAAAGATGCAACTAAGCACTTCAAATTATTTTAAATGTGCTCCAAAAAAATCTACAACAGCCCTCTGTTTAGTATGATTAACACAGTCAGTGATTTTATCTCTAAATTCCACTGATCATGAAGTGAGAGGAAAGCAGTCTAAGTGTTTATCTGAGAGATGGTGGAATCTTAGGCTAAATTAAAATAGCATATTGGGATCAGCTGTACAAAATTTGTTCAGCTGGCTACCATCACTGTATTATTGGTATGTGAATGATCTATACTAGTATATTACTCAGACAATTTGCAGGAGGTTATACTGGATATATATGTGGATATACTAGAAAAGAGAAAATTTTAAAGTGTGTGTTAGAAGAGATATTAGGAATATGAATTTGGTATGTGAGAAAAGTGTCTTTATAGGAACAAATTATTTTCCTGAATTTGTATCTTAGAGAAGGAAGAAGAAATCCTGGCTATTCATCTCATACACACACACACACACACACACACACACACACACACACACACACACTCAAATACAAATACTCTAACCTTAGAATCTAGCTAAGTTATATGTGCGTGTGTGTGTTACCTATTTAGATTGATGGTGTACTTATTGAAGTCTAGTGTTGTTGACTTTGCTTCAATAGCCAATAAAATGCTACTTCAATTTATGGAATGAAGTTTTTATCTTGTTTCATTCTTGAGCAATAAGTTCCTTATGAAATAGTCTTTGAACTTTAAATAAGAATTAGATAGCTACACCAGTGATGCAAAACCATGGACACTACCTGTTTCTTATGTTATCTTCTGCCTATCATTCCTTGGCATCTTCTGAAGTATAAGCCTCTACTAAAACATCAGGCCTGTATGCCAAAGAAATGACAAATGGACAAGGAAGCTGGACAGAGGGTAGGTAGATCCTTTTAGGTGATCAAGTCATTCTGACTATTCCGTGTGCCACTTGTCCAGTGTCATGAATTATGTCACCAAAAGGAGGGATGCCAACATCTCTAAAATGTTTTCAGGAATGATTGCAGAGATTCTATGGATGCTGATTGGTTGACTTGGCAACGTCACTTCTGGACATATCAATGACTTTTAGGGGGTTGTAATGTAAATACATAAAAATTTCCTCATATCTGACTGACAAGATAAAACTAATATTAGGTAGGCCCTCACATGCTCCCTGGGTATTTCTAAGCTAACTGAGTATTGTTGGAACTTGAGCTGCTTCTACACTGCAGTTACATTTTTCCTATGCCATTTTTAAAGCAGAGTGACATTTCTACAAGAGTGTACATTTTCCAAGTCACTTAAATGACAATAAATATCACAAATACAACTGGATATTTTAAAAGCCATAATCACTAATCAATGATTATTCACTCCCCACTCCCCACTTTTTTTTGTTATGTGTGTGATGAAAGAGATAATATTTGTATTAATTACTATTGTGTGTTTTTGTTTGTAGATCCTAGTAAATGTGGGCAATTTTTTCACATTGGAGTCTGTCTTTGTAGCACCAAGGAAAGGAATTTACAGTTTCAGTTTTCATGTAATCAAAGTCTATCAGAGTCAAACCATCCAGGTATGTTTTTTTTTTTTTTAATAAAAACTCTCCCTTCAAACAACCACCTAAACAAGTTGAACTTATTTATAGATGGTCTTGGTTATAAATTATGATGGAAATATGGGAACCAAAATGAACTCTTCCTTAATCAAACAAAATGGTCAGCTTTGTAGTTATTTAGAAATAATATCTAGACTCCAAGCTAATTCATTACATCATTGAATGAGAAAATTTGACAATGGATATAGTGATAAAAAGTTATTCAAATTGTAACTCTTAAGAGAGGTGGTTTAGCCACATTTAATGGAGTGAATCCCAGTAGAAATTTTTTTATATGCTAAATGGATCTTACCTTAGTTCATTTAAAAATTAGTTTATTTCAAATTAGTTCATTTAAAAATCATTGAACTTGAAATGAGACAATTTTAAGATAAAAAGATTCATTCAAGCTCAAAATAAGCAAATATAATAATACTAGTAATAAAAACAAGAGCTAATATTATATAGAACAATAAGATTTGCAAAATACTTTATATACATTATTCCACTTAAACCATATTTCCATTAATTTCTGGTAATTAAACATTTGGAATAAATACATGAAAAATGAAATAAAATTTTTAGGGTATGTTAAAAAAATTGAATTGTCTCCATCATCATAGTTTATCTTTAGTCATAGTGAATCTTAGGAAGCACAGAGTCAGACCATTCTGATTTCCCTGCAGCAATACTATTTTTATGTTAATAGGGGGAAAAAATCATTGTCTTTAAAGTCAAGAGCCATGAACTCTCAGCCATGCTTGCATATGCAAATGCCTAAATCACAAAATTCACATTTTTTGAGTAAATATTTTTCTTTACTTATGTATCTTCATGATAAACCATGACTAAATTTCCAAGATTTATATTATATAATGTGTCTGTGAAGATGAAAGAGCAACTTACAGTTCTAAGCTAAACCTTCTGTCAGTGCTCTAAATTTTCTTTCTTTTATGTATTCTTACCTTTAGGACAATGAGTTCTGGATAAAGATGCAGCCTTCCAGAGCTGAACGAAGCCAAACTCCCTATGTTTCACAATTTTAGGTTTCATTCAAATATGACAGCTTGGTGCAGTGTTGAAATACAGTAGGAAGAGAAGGTAGTTGCAAAATCTAGAGTTAGTCATTTTCTATATGCCAGTCATTGCGGTGGTTTCAATCATAGTTAATTACTATTAGTTATTACAAATAATTTTAAATGTGCACAAATCTAGCAGGGAGTAGGTTGGGAGTGGGAGAAATTGCACTTTGTACATCCTCACAAACAGTTTTTTCAAAGCTAAGTGTATCACTGATACACCTTAACCTGTGAATGTTTTGACAGATTCTTACAGCAGTTGGATTGATCAAGTTGCTAGGGTGGTCTCCAGTGACATACTAGAAAGCCATTTATTTCCTTTATTGCCAAAAAATTGGGGTTGAGCAGAAGTGGTGCTGTAGTGAGGCCCTGCTTCATGTACCTAGCCTACTCTAGATAGATGCTATTTGTCTTCTGGTTTTTAGGAAAATTCCTTGCAGAGGTATAAAACATGAATTTGTCAACAACCTTAGTCCAGTAAACAAAGTTCCTTAATTTGAAAGGAGAGTGATGTGTTTTTCGAACATTAGATCTTTTACCCAATCCTTCATCCCCTGCATGTCATTTATAATCCCCAGTAGATATTTTTCCTTTAACTAGAGCTTTTCAGTGATTTTCTTCTTGTAGGTTAATCTGATGCTAAATGGAAAACCAGTAATTTCAGCATTCGCTGGAGACAAAGATGTTACACGTGAAGCTGCTACTAATGGAGTCCTCCTTTACCTAGATAAAGAAGATAAGGTTTACCTGAAACTGGAGAAAGGTAATCTTGTTGGAGGATGGCAGTATTCTACGTTTTCTGGCTTTCTAGTATTCCCCCTATAAAGTCTGATTTCTCTGTGACATCCATCCAGGTGTGGAGCAGCCAATTCCCTCTGTTATTTGAAGATCATTTTATCGTCATTGGATTGATGTTTCTTATTGGTTTCTCATGGGTGAATATGGATTATCTTTAAGGCTCCTGAGCCTGTCTGAACCAGTATGAAGTTTTCACAGAATTTTTGTGTGTTTAAGTATATTTGGACTGGGATATTAAGCAGACAATCCATATCTATGCTTAATGTTAACAGTCAGAAGCTGTTTGCAAGATTTATTCAGAATTTCATTGACTGGACTTACCAGAGTCATTGGAGGTGTGGAATTTCATGGTTTTAAAAGGACTGGCAACCAGGTCTATAAATTAGGACAATTTGCATTCCAACTTCAATCAAGAATTCGTGTCTTGCTGCCAAAGAACTGTTTACTGAGCTATTGGTTCTATTCGTTTTTTTTTAACTTTGTTTTGTTCTCCTGAGATAACTGGCAATTGTTATTCAGTGACCAGTTTTGTGTCCTCTCTACATGTAGAGTATTGGATGGCTGACCCGTAGATGTACCCTGAATCAGTTATCACAAACATGACAGCCCTAAGAGGGGAAAGGAGGATGCATCATAGCTGTGTTTTAATTGTATACATGAAAGATTCATATTTTCCAAGTTATATTTTCTAATAGCAAGAATAGATCATAAGTCTGACAAAGGAAAAATGTTGCTTACCCATGTTCTGATTGATCAATCCACAAACCTTGGCAAAATTATGCTCCTCTGCAGGAAATTGTATACTTTATTGTTCAACTTTAATTAATGTGATTGATAATAACCACTTTATTAAAAACCTAAGGGATTTTTTCCTTAGACACAACCACTTTATTAGCAGGAGATGAGATTCCCTTGTTTTTAATTATGTCTATTTTTCAAACATTCAGTTGTGTTCTAGGTATCATCTGGTTTTGCCTTAACTCCTCAAGTTGTATATACTTGTAGATCATCTGTTTAGCTAATATTAAATCTACATATCCCCTATATAAACTTGGTGCAATATCTCCTTGTCTTTTGTACAGGTGTATAAGTTCATCCATTTATTTATTATGTCACTGTTCACAGAATAAAAGTCAATATATGTCAGCTGGATGTTTTTGACCCTTGGGTTTTGGAGATTTGCATCATATTTCTTTCTGGGTGTGGCTACTGTTAAATGAGACCTTTTGAATTTTGGGATAATGTCCAATGGATTTTTTATTTCATTTAATCTTGCCAAGTCCTGGACTGGTGCAGCTTATAGAAAGATAATCAAGGAACTGAGAAAATAATTCTCTCAGACAGACTTATCAAGAGGAGAGGAAAAAGAAAATCCCTAGACTGTCATGCTGTTGATGATTATATGAATGAGTTATGCTGAGCAAAACTCTAGACATTTTTATAACATTAAGCAATTGAATAACATAGGAATGCATTCAGATCTTATTTCAGTGAAGATGATAACATGGTCCTGTGTTGTTATTGTTGTTGTTGCTGTTGTTTAGTATGAGACTGTTATCCTTATAAAAGACATTATATGTAGTAAGAATAGCATTGAATTGGACATCAGGAAGTCTGGGTTCTTATGTCAGCTTTACAATTAATTGGTTGTGCGACCTTGGACAAATCACTTGATCTTTTGGGGCCCTTGCTTACTCATCTATAAAATGAAAGGCTTGGACTAGATGATCTTGAGTGTCCCTATAAGCCCTATGGTCCTCTGACTTTATATTACTGAAATCTCTAGAGATTCACTGTACTTAATGGTTTGCAACCAAATGGAATGTTTTAGGAGAAGCCAATGTCAGCTTTGAGACCTCATCTTGTGTATCCTTTGTGTAGGATACTATATAAATTTAACTACATTTACTTAGGATCATAGTTTTTATAAAGCTTTCTGTATTTAAAATATACATCTTTATTTTTAAATCTTATTTGATAAAATATACTGTTGGTTACTTTTGGCAAAATAGCTCTGATTAACAATTCAGATTTATATAACACTTCTAGGAAAAACACAATGTGTTTTCCTCACAAAAATGTAGGTAATGTAAGTATTGTTATTCCCATTTTGCAGATGAGAAAACTAAGGCTCAGAAAAGGTAAGCAACTTTGCCCATGGTCACATAGGTACTAAGTGTCAGAACTAGGGCCTGGCTCTTTCCATGACACCATATTATTTTGACAATCATCAGTAGACATCTCAACTATGACATATCCATCGAAGTGGCTACTGAAACAAGGATATATAAAGATGAAATCTGTCCTTTGGGATTATGGTTCTGAATTGCTTGCTATTTCCCTTTAATTACCCCATCATGGAAGAAAAGGGAAAAATCACTTCAGTTTCCAGGACTCTGATGTATAATGTATTTATATCCAAATGATTGGATATAGATATATTTAGAACTTTCAAGATAATGTTGACACTGTACTTTGAAGGCCTGACTTTAAACAAGGGAAAATACTTCTATCAATGGAATAATGGCATAATAATGGAATTTCAGATTTGTACAGTAATGATGTAACATGGTCTTGAATTGAGGCTTTTCAATAGTCTTCCCCAATCACTGTAGCTGTGAAGACTGCATTAAAGTGATTATAAGAAGAAGGAACATAGAAAATGATGGAGAATGAGTTCACACATTACAGGAAAGGAAGTAAGGGAAAAAGGAATTGTAGATGGAGTAAAAGAGATAGGCCACAATGGTACAATCAATATATTGGAAAGTGAAGTTGTCTAGGACTGGATATAGTTCCAGCTCTGCCTCTTATTTATTGCATGTTGGACAAATCACATCTTTTCTATGGACCTTAGTTTTCTCATTTGTAAAACTACCAGATTTGACTAGCTTATTTCTATGATGTTTTTCAGATCTAAAACCCTACAACATGGGGAAAAAGGTGTTTATTCAATGTAGCTAAATTATGGGTAACCTTTGACAAATGGAACAAAAGAAAACACTGTTCTAAGCTTTCAAGTCAACAGTTCACCACAGTATCTCCATTCAGAGGCTTAGAACATAGCAATTCTTGTCTCCTTTGCCACTAGGGAAGAGAAAGTGGTCTTCTGTTGGAGCTTTTTGTACATGTATTCAGTTGCAACTCAGTCACCAACAAAGATTTTTCATCACCAAGAGTTAGTGTATACCTGGTCATGTACTGAACCAGAGAGGAAAATGGACTATCCTTTTATCTTGCATTTCCAAAATAGGTTTCCCAAGTCTTCACATGGATATGCACTATCAGAGAACTTTCTCCGCTCTCGTATATGTATGTCATTGTTCTTGTTGTTGTGTTTTTAGAAACCACTGGGTTCATAAACCTTCTAATTGAGTCCCATATTTATCTTGGCTTGATTTCCATTTTTTAAAATATAAACCTGATCCTTCCCTAACTCCTTCTATCCCCTTACTGGTCCTTGATTCAGTGATTAGCAAACACAGTTCTGTCAGCCTAGAATCCCATGAAAAGCAAATGAAGGGAGTCCAAAGGAAAGACAGAGTGAATTCAGATTTTCCTTAATTCTGCTTTCTAATTCTCCTTAATTTCAAATAATTTCCTTTATTAGACCCAAGGTGCAATGGTCCATGTTTATTTTCATAGCCAACATAGCATAGCCATTTCCCACATTCCCATTCCCGATTGTTGCAACTTTGCACTACTAAGTTTATCCCTTCAAATCACTACCATTTGATGAATGACTGCTTCAGTGGACATATTACATAGTAAGGGACTTGAGAACAAGTATTTTTGAACACACCTCTTTGGAGCCAGCTAGAGCCAGGACCTTTGGAAGAAATTCTGGAGGTTCTAAAAATGTGCCCTAACTTTTGAATTGTAGATTACACAAGTCTTAGAGGTTCTGAGAGTATCATAGTATAAAGAAAGATGACTGGATTCAGAGTCATAAAATTTGGTTCAAATCTTAGCTTTGTGCTTACTATGTGTGTAACCTTACATAAATCCTCTTTAGGCATCAGTTTCCTCATGATTAAAAGGAAATGTTTAGAATGATGAATCAACAAACTGGTTGAGAACATCTTCTTTGTGCTAGTCACTAAGGCTCCAAAAACAAAAGTGAGAATGTATCTGCCCCAAAACATTGTACAAGTAGGGTGGAGGGGCAGAGTTCAACATGCTTATAGTTAAATACATATGGCTTAAATATACAGTAATGGGGCACCCTAATAATCAAATGAATCCTCTTGAAGGAAGTGGTCCTTGAGACATGCCTTGAAGGGATTTAGGATTTTCAAGAGGCCAAGGTGAAGGAGAACATTCCCAGCATAATGGAGAGCCTGAGTGAAAAACCTGTCAGTAAGAGACAGAAATTTGTTCATGGGGAATCGCAAGTAAACTAGTTTGATAGGTGTATAGAGTGAACGATGGAGAATAATGCATAAATAGCATGGGAAAATAGATTGGTGCCAGATTGTGGTGGGCTTTAAATGCCGTAAAGTCATTTGCATTTTATCTCAGAAGCAATAGAAAACTACTGGAAGTTGTTGGGCAGAAGAGTGATAAATACTTTAAGAATATCAATTTGACAACTATGCAAAAGGTGGAATGGAGAGAGGAAAAGTTGGATGCAGGGATACCAATTGGAAGGCTATTGCAATAATATAGATAAAGGGTGATGAGGACTTGAATTAGACTGGGAATCATATAACTAGAGAAGAGATGGATGTTAAAAATGTTGAGGTAGAATCGATAAGATCTGGAAACTCATTGTGTGGTGGGGGGTTAATGGATGAAAGTGAAGAATCACAGATGACTCCTGAATAAGAATCTGGGTGATAGTGGTGATTCTCTCATCAGATATGGAGATGTTATAGGGAGAGGTGGTGAGTATATGAGGAAAGAAAATGAATTCAACTTTGGACATGATGAGTTTGAGAGTCATATGAGATATCTAGGTGAGAATTTCCAGCAGACAATCAGAAATGTAGGAGCAGAACTCAGGCAAGAGAAGAGGGGTGAAGGGG